AGATGACATATTATATGCATAATAAAAATATTCTTTTTATAATTATAGTGACACGATCACTATTCTTATTAACTGAATACATTTTTATAAAAGCAAAGCAAAATTCTATTTCAGAAATTACAATGCAATAATTTTAAGATCTACCTTATATCAAAACAGTACTGCTGATATAAGTATTCATCATCCTAACTTAATCTTCACATCACAGTTTATAATAACAAATTATAAATAATTATAATAATAAATAAATATCACGTAAATTCAGTAGGATTTGTTAATTTAATGAAATAAATATTTTGCAACGATATTTATCCCGTTTTAGACAGGATTGTTCTATGAAAATTATAGACTGCAATCACAACTATACCAAACTGACAGTTAAATCAAAATACTGAAACTGTAGTATTATTTTAGGATATCTTGATCTGTTTAACTGTAAGCTACACACTGACCGATACCAAATAAAGTTCAACCTCTATGTAAATTTTGTGATAGACATTTGTTTTAACGTATTTCAAGAGATATATATTATACTAAGCATATTTTAAAACGAGTTTTTAGACCAGACTTTTAAACAGAGGTCAAATGTCTTGTATGTCATATGAGCGTATTATTAAATCGGTATCATTATTTACGTGGAAATCACGTAATAACTACTTCTTTTAAAAGATGAAACTTAGAGACACCAACACTTGCAGAGTGAAATTTCCGTCCATCTTATCTGCTTGTGTTGTGCGATTACCAGGAAAAAATTCTAGTATTTCCATTCGGCTTTCATTAAACGAACAAGTTAAAAAATATTTTTAGATTTGTTAGTAAATTTAAATTGTCTATATTAGCTTACGAAACTCGGGACTTGCAGAATCACATTGCACTATTGTCCCTTTTAATAATAAAAAAAAATAATAATATAATAAATATTCAAAAGAAGTGGTTTCAATGTAGAGTTTTGAAACATTTAATAGAACTTACAAACTACAGGTTGGTTGGTTGCAGTGACAGCCCATTTGGTAACTTCGAGTGTACCTCAATTAGCGATTTTCACCCTAGTATAGAAGAGTAGAGACTAAATCCATCCCGCTGAATTTAGATAATTTAATAGGTCTTTCATCTTCACCGTTGAGCAGTCTGATAAACTATCACAGAAGTATTTTCCTAAGAACCTATACCTTCTAGACGCTAAAGCCGGGCATTCACAAAGGAAATGTATTATTGTTTCTTTCTCCTGCGAGTTTCCACAACTTCTGCAATGAGCGTTATGGGGAATACGCAGTTTCTCTGCATAAGTTCCTACACACCAATGACCAGTAAGAACTGCAGTAAGCCTTGCAGTGTTCATGCGATCCCTTTTGATGAGTTCCGAGGATTTGTTTTTATTATAGGTGGGCCATGTTAACCTGGAATTTGCACATGACCTAAGTGCTTTCCATCTGTTATTGGCAAGTTGCAGAAAGTAGAGGAAGGTACTTCTTTTAATGGTCTCCAGGGTTATATAAACCGGCACCGCCAGTGACGCATCCAGAGCGGACTAAACTGTCAGCTTTCTCGTTCCCTACGATATTCCTATGCCCAGAAACCCAAATGAGATAAACTACAGGAGTTTGTAAAAGAAACTCCCAATAAACAATTTTAACATATTTAACTTAACAATAAACATATCTGAAAGGTTTCATTGTTATTAAAAACATAAACATGAATTCTTATAAATATTTGTTTATATGGTTTTCGTTTATTGTTAATATTTAGGTAAATATTGTTTATTTAAAAATTTAATTATGTATTTTTTATATTCGAATAATTTTTATTGAATATTTTTTTTTTTATTATGAATAAAGACGTGTCTTATAATTATAAATAATAGTGTGAGTTAAAATTTAACTGATATGAAGTTCAAGATCAACACATAATATATTATTTTCATTTTTCCGTATGTAAAGCATTAATTAATAAAGATTATACTATACCTACATAAAAATAATTGTATTAAAAATATTAAAAAAAAAAACTTTCAAAATATTAGTACTAATAAAAAAAATTTTAATTACTTACAGATTTGGTTCCGGAAGTAGCCAAGCATCACAAAGTAGTGGAGATATATGTAGAATTTGTCATTGCGAAAGTGATCCACAAAATCCTCTACTAACACCCTGCTATTGTTCTGGTAGTTTAAAGTATGTACACCAAGCTTGTCTACAGCAATGGCTTACAGCATCGGAGACAAATTCCTGTGAATTATGCAAATTTCCATTTATAATGCATACCAAGATAAAGCCGTTTAATGAGGTAAACTACTACTACTCTTTATACAAAAATATTCCTAACAACAATTATAAATCATTTTTATAACTCTATTTATAATCTAACAAAAAGTTACACTTCAATAAATGAAATGCAGTTGAAATATGAATGTATATTCTCGAAACTCTTATACGCGGTGGTGCATAATCTCGTATTTTAAAATATATAGAAATATAAATCTGTAATTAGGTATTGAAAAATAAATTACGTGTAAATGAATTACTTAGATTCAGTTTAAAAATGCTTTTAAACCTTTCTATTGATCAGCCAATAGATAATAAATTTATTCCTGTGCAAAAAACACTTGTACTTCTAAAAGTATGGCAACGCTTACTTTAACGCATGCACCACCACATTCACTTTGCTGCCATAAAATTACTGCATTATTTTTCCTTTATAACTTTTTGTTTTTATTGCAGTGGCGCAGCCTTGACATCTCTGGCATTGAAAGGAGACGACTTTGTTGTTCGGTGATGTTCCATTGCGCTGCTGCTCTATGCGTAATATGGTCACTTTGTGTACTTATTGAGCGTGCAGCAGATGATGTTCAACGTGGTCTAATAGGTAAGTACGGCAACAATATTTGTCTATATTTGAAATATAAATTTGTTTTTTGACATTAATGTTTTATTTCAAATACTCTTACAGACTGGCCTTTTTGGACAAAATTAGCCGTTGTTACTGTCGGTCTAACGGGTGGTGTAGTGTTCATGTATATACAGTGTAAGGCATATTTACATTTATGTCACCGCTGGAAAGCTAGAAACAGGTAAGTTCTATTATATTTTTCCAACATATTGAGAAGTAGATAATAGTTATGTTCAGAAAAATATAAGATACTGCTTTGACGAAGTTTAAGTACAAAGCAGTTCAAAATTCTCTAAATGTTTATGTGTTTGTATCATGAATACGCCAAAAAGGTATAACTATTGGAACGGATCCAACATCAGGAAGTATAAGTAACGATTAATTGCCCTTCATACCACGAAGCAGGACCTTCTCTAAGATTACGGATGCAAAGCATCATAGTACACAACAGGCCTCCATCTGAAATCTTTAGGAATGAAATTGACTTTCCTCGTACATCATCAGTTGCACTAGCTAAACAGTTACATGTCATATATTAATACTTCAATTTCTTCCCATTTATTTTCCTCTTCTATTCTATATAACCTATTCGAGCACTGATATACGATTTCTTTCCATTGAAGTAGCCACGTTGACTAAGACAATCAACTGCTGTTCAAAGCTCTTATCAAGCCATATAGATGGACATCCTACTGGTGCCATATTCAGCAGAGCCCTTCGTCCTAGATGCATTCGTCGATCCCTTTCTTCTAACCACACTTAAATCGTCACTTATTACAATGGAGCCAACATCAGTTAGGTCGAATACAAACGTGGACTCAAAGCCCTCCACGCAGATGCAGTAACCTTTTCGATATCTCGCAAGAAGCACGGCGTTTCCCTCGTGCAGCTTTGAACTGTTCTAGCTCAATTGAGATCAAGATATAGTCAATTACTTATCACGCATAAGTACTTCTATTCCTAATGTGTGCTCAATCTACAGCCCTACCCCTCATGATGTCGCTCATCTGTTCTCTTGTCCCTCTTCGCACACAAACCAACCTACGTCTAATTGACCTTTGGACTCACCCTCTTGAAGTGGCCATATTTTTCCGCCTGGAACCAAGTTGAACTCAATCGAAATTCTCACCAACCCTATATCCTCTCCTTCCCTTTTATTCCGCCTACCTTGTTCACGCCTGCATAGAACTGACGTATTCACGCCTGTATAGGATGTCAATTTGTTCCACCATGTTGATGTGTTTATGCCGGAATAGGATTAAATATGAAAAATGGTTCAGTTGTTTTAATATTTAACTTAACCGTTGACATGCTTATGATTTCATCAGAAAATGTCCGGTGTATATTTACCTCTGACGTGCTTGCGACATCTTCGAAATTTGAACTCAAGTCTTCCATCCATGATTTGAGCAGACGATGAGGCAACGATCGGCATGGGGTATTGATTCTTCAGACATTTTGTACCTAAATTTTATTTTGTGGTGGCGTTAGCTTGTGCCGTTCTGGTAATTCAATTATATATTTTCATTATATATTCCATTTTACGTAGGTTTCCTGTCTATCTTTGCTTGGACGCCAATGTATCGTGAAACGATGTTAAAAAATTGAAAAAGAAGCCATTAACAGGACTATCCAAAAGAAATAACATTTTTTTAGAATCTGAGATGCATAACTAATGCAAGAGTATTAGACTCGAGTACAGTGAGTCGCTTGAAAATGTTAGATTTTCATATACTGCTCAATCATTTGCTGTTATACGTATCTGTATTGACCAAACACGGACCCCTGTCATCGCTCAGACACCATATTCGCCAGGTCTGGGTCCGTGCGACTTTTTCCTGTTCCCGAAACTCAAATAGCCCCTTCGTTGAAAACGTTTTCAGTCGATTGAATCGGTAAAAGAGAATTCGCTGAAGGAACTAAAAGCCATACCTTTACGGGCCAACGAAGTTTGAAACCCTTGTAAAACTTTATACCTATACTTGGTTACCTTTACAAGTCTAGAGAGTAAT